CACCAGAATTAAAGCTTTTCTTATTTAAGGTTCTTTTCACATTGCTTTTTCTTTTCTTTTCTTTTTCTTTTTCTTTTTTTTTCTGATACAGGGTATCATTCTGTCGTGCAGGCCGGAATGTAGTTTCTCAACCTTGGCTCACTGCAGCTTCCACTTCCCAGACTCAGATGATTCTTCCAACTCAGCCTCCCGAGTAGCTGCAATTACTGGCACATGCCACCATGGCCAGCTAATATTTGTATCTCTTGTAGAGACAGGGTCTCCCTGTGTTTCCTAAGCTTTTCTTCAGCTCCTGGGCTCAAGTACTGTGCCCACCTTGGTCTCCCAAAGAGCTAGGATTACAGGCATGAGCCATCCACCCATCCTGAAGGGTTTATTTTTGAGGGAAATTGCATCATAGAGGCCCAGGGCATAGGCTCTGGACTCAGAATGTTGAACTTAGCATTTTAAACTTCCCTTCCTTGGCAAGATATTGAACTTCCCTATGCATTTGTTCCTCTGTCTGCGAAATAATTTTACTAATAGTATGTACCTACACAGTTTTGAGCATTAAGTGAGAGAAAATGTGGAAAATGCATGGAACATAGCCTGGCAAATGGTAAGCAAATAATGAGTGATATTACTATAATTAATACAAATGTTTAAGGTTAGAAAAATAATCAAGGATTATTATATGCAGGTTATCTAGCTAAGTTTACATTTTGTTAGAATCCTCAAGCAGTGCATCTAGTCATTCGTTTAGCAAACATATATGGATGATATTGTTCTAAGTGCCAGAGGTTCAGTCAAAACATATCATGGTCCTTTCCCCTTAGGTCTCACATTCAAGAGGGGAAGACAAACATGAAGGCTGGTGATATGGTTTGTCTCTATTTCCCTACCCAAATCTCACCTTGAATTGTAATCATCCTCATGTGTTATGGGAGGTATCTGGTGGGATGTAATTGAATCATAGGTGCTATTTTTTTCCATGCTGTTCTCCTGATAATTAATGTCTCATGAGTTCTGATGGTTTTATAAAAGGGAATTCCCCTGCTCATACCCTCTTGCCTGCATCCATGTAAGACGTATCCTTGCTCCTCTTTTGCCTTTTGTCATGATTCTGAGGCCTCCCCAGCCATGTGGAACTGTGAGTCTATTAAACCTCTTTTTTGTTCTATATAATTACCCAGCCTTGAATATGTCTTTATTAGTAGTGTGAGAAATGACTGATGCAGTAAATTTATACCAAGTAATGGAGTGCTGCTGTAAAGATCTCCAAAAATGTGGAAGCAACGTTGGAACTGAGTAAAATGCAGAGGTTGGAACAGTTTTTAGGGCTCAGAAAAAGATACGAAAATGTAAGAAAATCTGGAACTTTCTAGAGATTTGTTGAATGGCTTTGACCAAATGCTGCTCATCTCAGATGAAGATAGGAACTTGTTGGGAACTGGAATAAAAGTGACTCTTGCTGTGTTTTAGTGAAGAGATGGTGGCATCTTGCCCCTGCCCTAGAGATCTGTGGAACTTTGAACTTGAGAGAGATGATTTAAGGCATCTGGCGAAGAAATTTCTAAGCAGCAAAGCATTCAAGAAGTGACTTGGGTGCTGTTAAAAGCATTCAGTTTTATGTATTTGCAAAGATATGGTTTGGAATTGGAACTTATGTTTAAAAGGGAAGCAAAGCATAAAAGTTTGAAACATTTGCAGCCAGATGATGTGATAGGAAAGCAAAACCCATTTTCCGAGGAGAAATTCAAGCCAGTTGCAGAAATTTGCAGAAGTAATGAGGAGCCAAATGTTAATCTCCGAGACATTAATCTCCAAGACAATGGAGAACATGTCTCCAGAGTATGTCAGAGAACTTCCAGGCAGCCCGTGCTATCACAGGACTGGAGACCTAAGAGGAAAAAAATGTTTTCATGGGGCAAGCCCAGGGCCCTTCTGCTGTATGCAGTCTAAACACTTAGTGCCCTTCTTCCTGGGCCACTGCAGCCATGGCTAAAAGGGTCAAGAAATAGCTTGGTCTGTGACTTCAAAGGGTGCAAGCCCCAAGCCTTGGAGCTTCCATGTGGTGTGGAGCCTGTGGGGGCACAGAAGTGAAGAATTGAGGTTTGGGAACCTCTGCCTAGATTTCAGAGGATGTATGGAAATGCCTGGATGTCCAGGCCGAAGTTTGCTGCAGGGGTGGGACCCTCATGAAGAACTTCAAGTAGGGCAATGCAGAAGGGAAATGTGGGGTGTGAGCTCCCACACAGAGTCCTCACTGGGGCACTACCTAGTGGAGCTGTGAGAAAAGGGCCACCATTCTCCAGATCTCAAAATGGTAGATCCACCAACAGTTTGTGCCATACACCTGGAATAGTCACAGGCACTCAATGCCAGCCCATAAAAGCAGCTAGGGGGGATGCTGTACACTGCAAAGCCACAATGGTGGAGCTGCTCAAGGCCATGGGACCCCAACTCTTGCATCAGCATGACTGGGATATGAGACATGGAGTCAAAGATCATTTTGAAGCTTTAAGGTTTGGCTGCCCTACTGGATATTGGACTTGCATGGGGACTGTAGCCCCTTCCTTTGACCAATTTCTCCCATTTGGAATGTGTGTATTTACTCAACACCTGTATCCCCATTGTATCTAGGAAGTAACTAACTTGCTTTTGATTTTACAGGCTCATAGGTGGAAGGGACTTGCCTTGTCTTAGAAGAGACTTTGGACTTGGACTTTTGGGTTAATGCTGGAATGAGTGAAGACTTTGAGGAACAGTTGGAAGGCAGGACTGGTTTTGAAATGTGAGCACATGAGATTTAGGAGAGGCCAGGGGCAGAATAACAGAGTTTGGCTCTATGTCCCCACCAAAACCTCACCTTAAATTGTAATAATCCCCAGGTGTCATGGGAGGCACCTGGTGGGAGGTAATTGAATCACAGTGGCGGGTTTTTCCCATGTTGTTCTCACAATAGTGAAGAAGCCTCATGAGATCTGATGGCTTTATAAAGGGGAGTTCCCCTGCACATGCCTTTTTGTCTGCTGCCATGGAAGATGTGTCCTTGCTCCTCCTTTGCCTTCCGCCATGATTGTGAGGCCTCCCAAGACATGTGGAACTATGAGTCCATTAAACCTCTTTTTTTCTTTATAAAGTACCCAGTCTTGGGTATGTCTTTATTAGCAGCATGAGAACAGACTAATACACCTGGTATGTAATATGTAACTGGAATATTCAGAATGTTCAAATGTAGCAAGTGATGAGAACAATAAAACATCATTGGCAAAGTAAGAGACGAAATATTGCAGGACTCATGAACTATAGACAGAGGAGCCAGGGAAGGCCAGAATACATCTCTGTCTTTGCAATCACATGTTCAATTGCTTATCCCAGAAACAAACTCAATGTGGCTAATTTATTTTATAAATATATTTTATGAAAGGTGGGCTAATAGAAAAATGCACACAGTATGTTATGTTTAGCAAATTCTTTACCAAAATTCTCTTGAGTTGTTACCTTAATATTTTTGGAGATTAAAGACCCAGAGTTAGAAAAACATCCACCTTTTGACATGTGGGCTGCCAGTTTTATTTCCTGTGCTCTAGGTGAAGAGATAAATGTGTTTGGGTTTGACTAGAACTCACTGTGTAGGAGGACATGATTTTTTATTTTTATTTTTATTTTTTGTTTTTTGACGGAGTCTCGTACTGTCACCCCACTGGAGTGCAATGGTGCCATCTCTGCCTCCCAGGTTCATGTGATTCTCCTGCCTCAGCCTCCCAAGTAGCTGGGATTACAGGCACACACCACCACACCTGTCTAATTTTTTGTATTTTTACTAGAGACGGGGTTTCACTATGTTCCCCAGACTGGTCTCGAACTCCTGACCACGTAATCTGCCCACCTCAGCCTCCCAAAGTGCTGGGATTATAGGTATGACCCACTATACCCAACCTCTCATGGTGTTTTATCTTTACTTTGCTAATGACTTAATCAGATGGCAGCACAAACTTGTGCTCCTTGCCACTGGGATGATTTGTAGCATGGAAGAAAGCAGAAATTGCCTGTGTATTACTTATCTTCCAAACATTTACTTTTAAATGATTCATTTTTTTTCTCTATTAACTAAAGTATTTCACATAAGGGTTTCTCCCCCAGCCAGAGCCATGAACCACTGAGTTGAAGCATGCCAAAGTGACATTCCGGAAACAGAAGCCATGACTAGACCATGTATCTGGGAATGTAGAGCCATGAGCCTTGAGTCTCATGTCCTGGAAAGCTAAACATTGAGCCACTGGATCCCAAGGCCCCACTGTTTCCTCAAAAATGAAGATGTCAAAAACTGGAAACAAATCAATATCCAATTCAGGAGCATAAAATAACAATTTGTGCTACGCACATGCACTGAAATGCTATTCAGTCATAAAAGGGAAAATTACTAATATATGCAATAACATGGATGAAAAAAATGTTTCAATTATGAGTGAAAGAAGCCATAGAGGAAGGAACACATACCCTGTGATCCCAATTATGTAAAGTTCTAGATTAGGAAAAACTAACGTATAGTGATAGAAATTCAGTCACTACTTATCTGAGGAGGAAGTGGAAGGAGATTGAGAATAATGGGCATGACAAAACTTTCTGGGGTGACAAAATCGGTTTGCCTGTTCATTGGGATGTTATTATACTAGAATATTCATGTGTCTTTAACAAAGAAATTGTATTCTTAAAGGGGGTACATTTTCTTTGACATAAATTATGCAAAAATAACATTAAAATTTTGAAGCAAAAATGGTCAGTGGTTGTAATAATAGATTTTTTTTTTTCTTGATTTCTGGCTGGACACACTCCACAAATCTGTAAAAATTTTGGTAAGAGGAAGTGGTTTTTATAGTGCCTGAGTTGTAATTACCAACCACCCAAGTTGGATAGGGAATTGTATACAGAGTGGATATAATTTAGAGGAACCGAATTGTTGACTTAAATATGTACTTGAAAATATAATTACAAAGGTAAAATCATCTCAAAATAAATGAATGTAGCAATTTTATTAGAAGTAGTATTTTAAATGTGCATAATGTTATAAAATCTTAGTGTGAAGTCTGTGCAACAATATCATTTTAAATGACAGAGTAGGTACTATACAAATCTCTGACATAGAAGACAGAAAATCCCTGTGCTTGGGTTTTGGCCATTCCATTTCCAAGCCTTAGAAGTTCATGGACCCTTTCAGTTTATCCAACTCTTCTTAGTTATGTTTTTGGACTATCAGCACATTTTGTGTAATATAACTTACAGCACTAATCAACTATTACATGTTATTCTATTTTTTCTTTGTCTAAAAACCTCCTCTTTCTGCCCAGCTTTTCAGTGTGGACTTTGGCATCTAATAGCCCTAGGGTCAACTTCTATTTGTGAGGTGTAGATCTTAGACAAGTTATTTAACATCTCCCATCCTCTGTGTTCTCGTATATAGAAGGGGCCTCATAATCATTCTTACCTTCTAAGATGCAATGCCAGGTGTAGAGAGCATGCCATTATACCGCTCATGTATAGTAGTCATAACCTATAGCCCAGAAGCAAGGTGACGTTAAAATGCACTTTTTGGTAAAGTGCTTCTAAATTTTTTTATGCTTCATTTTAATATGTTAAATAAACAGTAATTTCATTTTATGAATAGGAACAAAGAGAAAAAACTGACTCCAATTCTTGGTAAGCACAAGTTGGAGAATTGGGTGAGAAGCCAGAGTCCACTTCAATACTTGTTCAGTGTGATGTGCTTCTTTCCAACTGGGCACTACACTGGAAAATCTGGATTATACAAGCAGACAAAATGGCTTGTTTGTGTCATTGGGAAATAAATGACATTTGTGTCAGTGGGAAATAAATTCCAAGAGACAGACAGGGTGAAGACTACGATAATTTATGAGTTCCACTTTGCAACTCTTTACATAAACCTGGGATTCTAGGATATAGAAATCCTTTATGCAAGGGGAGCAGAAGTATGATTCTCCAGAACCACTCAATAAAATTGCTTCTAAGAAAAAGCCACTGAATTTCAGAACTGCCTGAAGTATATCTTTCACTCTACTTTATTATTGTATTCTGAACATGGCACCTCTGTGACTTTTGTTTCCATATCCTTTGAGGTTCTTCTAGAAAGCAAAGCTTGATGCTGCCTTCTGGGCTTGAGGATGTGGACATAGCTGGGTTGTCCTGCACTGCCTGAGGAGCTGCAAGAGACAAGGAACATCATGAACAGTGGTATCCCTCTTTGTTCTTATAGTTTCACCTCTGGATGAAGCTACAAAAGAGGAAATATATTCCTAGAGGACAATCCTAATCTAATCATTAACACAGTTGAGTGTGTTTGCTGCTAATGGAGCACATTTCAAGCCAGAGATTTCTAGGTATGCATTACAGGGAGTATCTACTTTCATATTGGAGGATAAGTATTTCTACAAGCATTTTAGATAAAAACATAGAGAGAAGGCTTTTCAAGGCCATGCATGATAAAGCACTCAGGAAACAGTCAATCCGTAATATAAAACTGTTAAAATATGATTTGTTTTCAAAAGATTCAAACCCTAGGATAAAATTTAATGGAAACAAGTTTTAATTAGCATTAATTAATTTTTAAAAGATGTGTTTATCCTTTTATTTATTTACCTAATAGACATAGTGGTAAACACAGGGAATATTTTTTTAATGATCCTTTTTCCCGTCCTTCAGCATCTCCTCCTACAATGTATACATATGGGAGGACAAGAATATTGAATACATAAACTAGAACAAATATAAAATAGAATGATGAATGCTAAAATCATGGTGTGCTCTAGATGGATTCATAGCACTAAACATTGCTTGCACAAATCTACGAGGAAATGTTTTCACAGAGTTTATGTGAGAAAATCTTTGAGGCTTTTACTTCATCACAAGATCAACACAATCTGACAATGTGTGATGCACTTGTTAAAGAAATTAATGTCATCTTCATTTCAAGATAGAACTGAGTGTTCTAGATATCCAGAGGATCTTTTAGAAACTATTAAGGCAAAATAATAATATTTAATTTTGCAAACAAATTTGAAAAACTGCTATGCAATCAGACAAACAAAGGCAGCATGAAGTGTGTGGACATGGAGAAGAACTAATTAGAATGATTATGTTGGAGAAAACTATAAAATAATAATTTAGTAGAAGAAACGTTTGATTTCTTTGTAAAGATTTGTGAAAGCAATAGAAAAAAACTGAAGAAAAGCATTTGAGTTATTTTTGAGAATACAGTACTTGGTTATTTAGTGAGTATCCCATGCTGTGAAACATTTAGGAAAGCATTCATCAGGTAATCATCCTTAATAAATTCAGTAGAGTAGTATCTGAACTTGACAAAAATGTGCATTTCTAGCCTCTAAATTGCTTTCAAATGTAAGTTTCTTTTATTTTAAGGGGGGCACGTAAGGAATAAGAGTTCTTTAATAAAATAATAGAAGTAAGAATGGAGAGAAATTTTCAAATTTGAGAGAAGAATGCATAAAACTTGGCCATGGCTTGAATATTGGAGGTGCACGAGAGGAAAGGAGCCAAGATGAGTTTCAGGTTCCTGGTTTGAACAACCGGTGATGGTGGCATCAAAAACCAAGTTACACAAAACTGGAAGAGAAGCAGGGTGGGGAAGAATGGCATGTTCAACTCTGAAATTGTTTAGATAAAGGTGTCTTTGGGAGATGTTGGGGAATATTTCAGTAGGCTTAAATAATGTAGTTTGGTACTTATTTGGGTAATCAGAATTTGAGATACAAATTCAGAATTTGTTAGTATAAATATGAGTAGTAAAGCTTTGGAAACAGCTTCTGCAAAAACAGAATGGATCAAAAAAGAAAATTATATGATAAATCTGTGGGAATTCTCCATAGCCCCTTCAAGCACAGCTCATTCTACTGAATTAATGTTAAGGAAGATGGGGTTCAAGAATGCTCTTCATTTAAAAACAACATTACCTGGGAAGAAAGAAAGTACTCCTTGGGAGTCTTGTGTACTAAGCTAATTTCCAGGTATCGGACCTATAAAAAGATGAAGAACATTGAAACAGCCACTTATCATCTCTGGAAAACTTTACAGCAATGCATAAGCCACTCCTCACTACAAATTCCTCCCACAACCCTGACTAAATGACAGTAAATGATGTTCAAGGGCACCAAAGCTCCGATCCTCACCATGTTGTAGGTCCAAGGGATTATAAGAATGGACAAGCTCATTTCCTGAGCACTGTATCAGGCCTCAGGAGGGCTGCAGGTGGTGGAAGTCCAGGCCTCCCAGTATGATCTGCAGCCTGGTAACAGGCAAGTGGGTGATCTCACTCAAAAGAAAATGCAAGGGGGCAATGGGAGGAAAGGGTCCGGTTGAAATCTTCACTTTTCTGTAATCATTGAATGTATTCCCTGAATGTATCATCATCACTTAAATATACTTTATTCTTCTCAGAGGGCAAAATTTTGAAAAGAATTTATAAAAAGTACTTGAATACAGACCCTAAAGCTGATGTCAAACAACTACGTAAGTGCCTAGGGACACGCTGGACACAAAATAATAAATCAATCAATAAATATTGTGCCTTGCCAGGAACACTGGAACATATAGTATGAAGCTTTTTAGATAGTTCTCATGACCTTTAGGAAATTAGCTACCGCGTACTTAGAACAGAAAATGAACTTTAATCAGAAGAGGACCACTGAGGCTGAAGGAAAAGAATCAAAGGAGAGTCAAGGGACATGCGATAGGGCCCCTGCTACAGAAATATGACCGAAAGGCAGAGATAAGAAGATATCCTGCAGGTTAATATGACTAGTAAAGAAATCAAATGTTAGGCATGAAGACAGGCCATAGGTGAACTTGAGTGTGAGTCACTGACCCTTACCTGCTGAAAGTCCCAGTGTCCCTGCCAGATACCTGTCTTCTTCACAAATGTATGTAATGAAAATTTGGGATGCCTGTGCCCCTTTGCGAATAACAGAGTCAATCACAGCTCGGGTCTTATCCATAACTGTAGGATTTTCACGTTTTATTTTCTCCATCTCTTCCTGGTTCAGCACCCTTGTCTGTAATAATTCATCCAGTAAACCATTTATTGTACCTTCACCCATGGAATGGATAAACAGCTTTCTCTTCTCCTTCAGGACCTTGTCTGTTTGGAGCACAAGGATTTCTCACTTCATGAAAACAGCCTCATATTCCTCTCACATAATCAACAGAAAGTGACCTCATTTAGATTTCATCAGTGAAATGTCCCCCTCCTCACAGTTGGGTAATCCATCTTCTTACTATATCGCTGCCCTACTTGTTTCCCTCAATAGTCTCCATACGTGTGCATGGAGTGGCCTGAAGACTGAGTTTACCATTTTCACATTAGTCCCTGGAAAGTGAAGATCATCCTCTTATGTCCCTTGTTTATTTAACTCTGAATAATAAAGTAATGAAGCAGAAATAGCCCATTTCATTTAGGAACCACTGCTGCTAGTGCTCCTCCTGTGCCAATTCTGGCACAGACTTTCAACATGTAAAAGTTTAATTAAGATTGTAAAATGACAGCAGGCTGCCCCTAAAGCCTCAGTTCCTTTCTGGGCTTGCCTTTCCTTTCTAAAGGCTGCAAGAATCTTCTAGTTCCTTCTCTCCTCCCTCTCCTCCCTCTCCCCTCTTTTCCTCACTTCTGCTCACCTAAACTTCCACAAATACTAATTATGGCTTCCAGAAGAGCCAGCACCTTCCAAAACTCTTTCTTCCCAGCGACCTGTTCTTGGAACAGTAAAAGACTCACCAGCCATGGCTCTTCTCCCCTGCCCTTCTTGTGTGGGCTGAAACTGAAAGTATGCTTCGCCTTCCTTTTTGGCAGGGTGTGTGCACATACTGGAAAACACCCACTGCACATGCATATGCATATCTTTATTTTTCTTCCCAGAGAAAGAATCAGAATTGTAGCCTGCATCAGAGAGTGTATCAATGGGAATTTTTTTTCACCAGCCCCTGGGTAGATCAGGGTAGGAGGAGAATGGGGCTTAGAGATTAAGACAGGATTGAGAAAGTATGTGTACAGTTAAATTCACACAGTGAAGAGTTTCCCGTTCATTCGAAAACTTGACGGAAGAAAATTAACACAACCTTTGCAGAATGTGAACCACTGTTCCCTTGACCGCATCTCACAGCTTTGGGGAAAGCTTGTGGGAAATATATGTTCCGGTGAAGCAATTTTGCTTTAAGAAATGTAAACATTTTTCACCAAAATTAAAGTCTTTCTTATTTAATGTTCTTCCTTTCCTGATGGCTTTTTGTTTTGTTTTGTTTTCTCATACATAGTGTCACTCTGTTGCCCAGACTGGAGTGCAGTGGCATGCCCATGGCTCACTGCAGCCGCTACCTCCCTAGGCTAGGATGATTCTCCCACTTCAGTTTCCTGAGTAGTTAAAAACTACAGGCAAGTGCCATCAGGGCTGGTTAATTTTTGTATTTTTTGTTGAGATGGACTCTCCCTATGTTTCCTTGGCTGATTTTGAATTCCAGCACTCAAGCGATCCACCCATCTTGGCCTTCCAAAGAGCAGGGATTACAGGCATGAGCCATGAGTCACTCACTCATCTTGGATGTCTTTCTTTTGAAGGACATTGCATCATAGAGGCCCAAAGCATAGACTCTGAACTCAGAATGTCGAACCTAACATGTTAAACTCACCTTCCTGGGCAAGATATTGAAATTCTTTATACATTGGTTCCTCTATCTGTAAAATAATATTGTTAATAGTACATATACATATCTACACAGTTTTGAGCAGCATTGAGATAAAATGTGAAAAATGAATGGAATATTGCCAGGCAAATGGTAAGCAGATAATGAGGGATATTACTATAATTAATACAAATATTTCAGTTTAGAAAAATAATCAAGGATTATTATTTGCAGATTATCTAGCTAAGTTTATCTTTTGTTAGAATCCTCACGCAGTGCCTCCAGTCATTCATTTAGCAAATATATGTGGACAACATGGTTCTCGGTTTCAGGGGTTCAGTCAAAACATATTATGATCCTTTTCCCCTTGCTCTCACATTCAAGAGGGAAAGATAAACATGAAACCTGGTATGTAATATGTAACTGGAATATTTAGAATGATAAAATATGCCAAGCAATGAGAAGAATAAGAAATTAATTGGAGAAGTGGGAGATGAAGTATTGCAGGACTCATGAAAATTGTACACAGAGGTAGCCAGGGAAGGCCAGAAGAGGTCCCTGCCTTTATCAGTACATGCTCAATTGATTATCCCAGAAATAAACTCAATGTGGCTAATTTATTTCATGAATAAACTTGATGGAAGATGGAATAGCAAAATGCACACGGTACATTTCATTCATCATTTTTTTTGCCGAAAATTTTCTTGGGCTGTTATGTTATTATCTTTGGAGGATAACGACCAGATTTACAAAAATATTTATGGTTTGACATGTGGACTACCAGTTTTACTTCCTGTGCTCTAGGCTAAGACTTAAATGTCATTGGTTAAGTAGAACCGACTGTGTAGGAAGACAATGACGTGGCTTTTAATCTAAGGTGTTCTTCATGGTGTTTGTATCTTTACTCTGCCAATGACCTAATCTGATTGCAACAAAATCTTGGGCTCCTTGCCACTGGAAGGAATTGTAACACGGAAGAAAGCAGACATTGTCTGTGTACCACTTCTCTTTAGTTTATTTACTTTTAAATTTATATACTGACTCATTTGTTTTCTCTGCTACTTAAGGGTTTCACACGAGGGTTTCTCCCCACCAGTCAGAGCCAAGAACCACTGAGTTGAAGCACGCCAAAGTGACATCCAGGACACAGAAACAATGATTAGACCATATATATGGGGATGTAGAATCATGAACCTTGAGTCTAGTTTCCTGGGAATGTAAACATTGAGCCATGAGAGTGCAAGGCCCCCTATTTCCTCAAAAAGAAAGATGTCAAAAACTGGAAACAACTCAATATCCAATTTGGGAGCATAAGTAAACAATTTGTGCTAGACACATACACTGAAATACTATTCAGTCATAAAAGGGAAAAATTACTAATATATGCAATAACATGGATGGAAAACTTATACTTTCTTTATGAGTGAAAGAAGCCATATAGGAAGGAAAACATACCCTGTGATTCCAATTATATAAAGTTCTAGATTAGAAAAAACTAATGTATAGTTGTAGAAATTCAATCACTACTTATCAGAGGAGGAAATGGAAGGAAATTGAGAACAAAGGGCATGACAAAACTTTTTGAGGTGACAATATTGCTTTGTCTATTAAATGGGATATTATACTAAATATCCTCATATAATTAATAATCAATTTATATTCTTAAAAGGGGTACATTTTCTTTGATGTAAATTATACTAAAATAACATTAAAATTTGAAATGAAAAAGGTCAGTGGTAGTAATAATAGACTGATTTGGAAAAAAATTTTTTTTTCTTGGTTTTCTTGATTTTCTTGATTTTATTTCTTGATTTCAGGACACACTCAAGCCTCCACAAATTAGTCATAGTTCTGGTAAGAGGAATCACCTCTTAACAGTGACTGAACTGTAATTACCCGCCACCCACATTGGATGGCAATAGTTAGACAGAGGGGAGATAACTTACAGGAACCAATTTATTGACTGAAATATGTATCCAGAAAATAGCATTACATAAGGAAAATTATCTTAAAATAAACGAACGTAGCAATTCTACTATAAGTAATATTTAAAATGTGCGTATTGATTTAAAATCCTTCTATCAGTGTGAAGTGTGTGAAACAATATTATTTTAAATGACAGAGTAGATACTATAAGAATCTCTGCCACGGAAGACAGAAAATTCCTGTGCTTGGGTTTTGGCCGTCCCATTTCCAAACCTTAGAACATCATATACTCTTTCATCTTACCTAACTCCTCTTCTTATTTATATTTTTGGACTATCAGCACATTTTGATTGATACAACTTAGAGCACTGATCAACTATAACATGTTGTTTTGTGTTTTCTTTATCTAAAACCTTCCTCTTTTCTGCACAGCTTATCAGTGTGGACTTGGATATCTAATAGTTCTGAGATTAACTTCTGTTTATGAGCTATTAGATTTTGGACAAGTTATTTAACATCTCTCAGCCGCTGTGTTCTCATGTATAGAAGGGACCTCCTAATCATTCTTACCTTCTAGGATGCAATGGCAGGTGTAGAGATCATGCCACAGTACCTCTCATTTATGGTAGTCGTAACCTATAGAGCAGAAGCAAGGTCATGTAAAAATGTACTTTTTGGTTAAGTACTTCTAAATTTTTCATATGCTTTACTTCAGTATGTTGAATAAGCATTAATTTAATTTTATGGTAAGAAGATCAGGTAAAAAAATCGTTTTAATGCCTTGGTAAGCACAAGTTGAAGAACTGGGTGAGAAGCCAGCCCACCACCTCACTCATTACTTGCTCTATATGATGTGCTGCTCTTCAGCTGGGCACTCCGCTGGGAAATCTGAAGTAGATAAGCAGATAAAAGGTGCTTGTTTGTGTCAGTGGGAAATAAATTCTGAGTTAAATGCATCTGGACAATGATAATTTATAACAGCCTCACTAAGGTATTTAAACTGATGAGATGGGCAATGGGAAACCATTGCAGCTTCCTAGGTAGGAGAGTCATGTTAACATGCTTGTAAAGTAACTATTTCATATTGAGTGCTTCACAAGGCCCAGGCCCTGTAATAGATACTTCATCTATATTGGTTCCACCAGTCAAACCATTTAAAAATATTGGTACTTGGAATAACCTCAGATTATGAAATCAAAATCTCATCCTGAGCCTCCCCCTTGAGACTCCATGCACCACCATATCCAGAATTTAATAGGACATGTTCTTGGAGGCAATTTTGGTCCCACATTAACCAGGAGCTGGGTCATGAGTGGACTGAGTGTTGGGGACAGGAGAAGGGATAAGAATGTCTGGGAGTTGGTGCTGACTATAGAAAGAATTTGCACAAGAGTAGGAAGGAACTAGGATGAAGCAGTAAAAAGCTTGCACGGACAGGAAGGTGGCCAGAAGGGGTGTGGTCTCCTTGTATCAGATTTCTATAGCAACAGGATAGAAAATAATGGAACCATGGAACCTCTACAAGTTAGAAAGTCTCATCTTGGAGCCAGATAGACTCAAATATCTAAGGAGGGATAGACATGGTCTTGGATGTGGTGTGTTGCCTAGCAGCAGAAACAGAAGCCATTCTTCTCCTTCAATCCACTCAAAATAAAAACTAGACTGAGAGATGAAGTATAAAAATACACTAGAAAGCAAGCCACCATAAGAACATATCAGCAGGAAAAAAGAGACTGTAAATTTAGATCTTGAAGGACATTGAGATGTTGGACCAATCAAATATCAAATGTAGAATGAAATCATTCTATATCAAATATAGAAGGATGTAAGTAAAGGGAGCAAAAAGTAATTATTCTACAATAAGCAATAATTTGAGAAACAATAAAAATAGAGCATGTATAAATACAAAAATTAGTTATATTTAATAATGGACAGATTAAAAGGCAGACACACAAATCTGCGAAAATGTATATAAGGTGGAAGATACAGAGATGTACAGTTGACCTTTCAACAATGAAATACTTAGAGGTGCTGACCCGCATATACAGTTGCAAATCTGCGACCGGGCGCGGTGGCTCACACCTGTAATCCCAGCACTTTGGGAGGCTGAGGCGGGCGGATCACGAGGTCAGGAAATCGAGACCATCCTGGCTAAGACGGTGAAACCCCGTCTCTACTAAAAATACAAAAAAATTAGGCAGTCATGTTGGCAGGTGACTGTAGTCCCAAATGCTTGGGAGGCTCAGGCAGGAGAAAGGTGTGAACCCGGGAGGCGGAGCTTGCAGTGAGCAGAGATTGCACCACTGCACTCCAGCCTGGGCAACAAAGCAAGACTCTGTCTCAAAAAAGAAAAAAAAAATCAGCGTATAACTTTTGACTCCCCCCAAACTTAACTTTTAATGGCCTGCTATTGAAGGGAAGCCTTACTAGTAACAAAAACCACTGATTAACAAATATTTTCTAATTTACATGTGTGATATATTGTAATATAAAGTAATCTAAAGTAAAAAAAGTTGTTAAGAAAATCATGAGGAAGAGAAAATATATCTACTATTGACTCAGTGAGAGTGGATCATCATAAGGTCTTCATCCTCATCATCTTCACATTGAGTAAGCTGAAGAGAAGGAGGAAGCGATGGCTTAGTCTTGCAGTCTCATGGGTGGCAGAGGCGGAAGAAGAAGAGGTGGAACAGGATAGAAGAGAAGCAGGCAAACTGCGTGTATCTTTGTGGAAATGCATAGTTATTTCTGTCTAACATTTTTGCTTTTCCATTTCCCTAAAATGTTTTCCAGACAGTACGAATCTGTCTTTCATCATTTCCTTAGTTTCAGTGCTCATATCATAGAACGGTCTTTGCTGTAAAACAGGTCAAAAGCTGCTTTGAATAATCAGAATCTTTCTGCCAAACTATAATGCCAATTTGTGCTCTGGCACTGCTGCTTCTACATCTTCTTCCTCATCATTTGGAACTGGTTCAGAAGCACACATCTCTATCAAGTTCTCTTCTGTTAATTTCTCTAATGTGCAATTCACTCTTGAATTTGTATAAGATCCATATCTTAAAGTTATTCACGTTTTTTTGCAATATCCACAATCTCTTTCATTATTTTCTTGATTGGCTTTTTCATAAACCCTGGTGAAGTCATGGACAACTTCTGGAAACAGTTTTCTCTAGCAGAAATTTATGGGGGGCATGTTATGTTGCCTAGGTTGGCCTTAAGCTCCTGGACTGAAGCTATCCTCCCACCTCAGCCTCTTTAGTAACTGGGATCATAGGCCCATACCACTGCACCCAAAATCACGGCTTTTAATTTTTTAATATCAGTGATGTCATTTTCAGTGGTGTAGCCCTTCCAGACTTTCGTGATGTGATTTCTATCGATGGTCTCTTCTTGGCATTCACAAATCTTTTCACAGAGTAACGTGTGTAATGAGCATTAAAGCTCCTTCTTACCTCCTGATTCAGAGGCTGAATTAGAGATGTTTCATATGGTGGTGAGTAGACCACTTTGATCTTTTGCATATTGAACTCGTGAGGTTTTGGGTAGCGAGGGGCATTGTCCAACATCAAAAGAATCATGAATGCCAGTCCCTTATTGGCAAAATATTTCCTGACTTCAAGGACAAAGCATCAATGGAATCAATAGAGAAAAAGTGCTCCCATTGCACAGGCATTCTTGTCCAACCAAAACACTGGCAACTGGTGTTTACCATTTCTGTTCCAGGCTCAGGGGTTAGTAGCTTTATAGCTCAGAGCAGTCCTGATGATAAACCCGACTGCATTTCCACAAAACAGTAGAATTAGCTTGTCCTTTTCTGTTTTAAAATCTTGGTGCTTGCTTCTATTTCTTACTAATAAATGGCCTTTTTGGCATCTTTTTTTTTTTTTTTTTTCCTGGACTAGAACAGTCATCTGTATTCAAAACCTGTTCTGGTAGTATAGTTTCTCTTCAATGATTTTCTTAATAGTTTCTGGGAACTAATCTGCTGCCTCTTGATAACCAAAAGCTGCATCTCCTGATATCTTGACATTTTTAATGCAAAAGTGCTTTAAATTATCAAACCATCCTTGACTATCATTAAAGCATCCACCTTTACATCCTTCCCCTTTCTTTTGCTTTAAGTTGTATACAATGACTTCATTTTTTCTGGAATCATCTTAGAGTCTATAAATATACCTTTCTTTTCTATTCTCTCTCATCTGTGAAAATTCTGCCACCACATACATGCTTCAATTTCAAAACAATATTAAAAATTGTTTCACAATAGTGCAAGGTTTTGGCTCTGGCAGACAGTGCAGGGTTAGCTTTATTATCTCCTTTTATTTTTTTACATTGGTCCTCATTTTGTATTCATTTATCTTGAAATGGTGAGCAGTGACAAATCCAGACCTCAACTACAGTACATATCAAACAATTCTACTTTTTCTTGTAATGTCATGACATTGCTTCTTGGGAACATTACACCAGCAGTATTGGCATGTTGTATGGACCCCCTGCTGTTATTCAAGAACTATGGTATTGCAGTAAATGCAATGAAAAGTACATTAAAAACCCAAGAATATTGCTTTTTATAGCAATATGAAATTTACAGGAGATACAAACTGCTGATGTAGGGATAATGAGTGTCACATGGCATTTTAAGCAGATACAAAACTTGAGTTCACTGAAATAGCAACAGGAAATGGCTATGAAAATACAAGAGTGCAGTATGCATGGTTAATTTTGTGCAGTTAGGATATAATACTGCATCTTTATATTTGTTTACATTTCTCTCATTCCAAGTGGTACTATGTATTATCTATGAGTGCATAAACTTTGATAAACTTTAGCTTTCTGTAATAGATTTGTGTATATTTTATAATATAGTAGTAAATGATAAAATAGACTAACATGTACATAAATTTTGTGCATTTTTTACATACCTAACTTAATTTTTCTGTATTTCTAGTATAGATGATTTGTGATTTTCTTCAAATTGTAGCAAATCCCCTAAATTTTTCCAAATGTTTATTTATATAAAATGCACATACAAGCAGACCAAAGCGTTTCAGATCCTTGTTGTTTATGGGTTAATATTAATTTATCTAGATTGCAAAATAAAAACAGAAATGAAAGGCTGAAAAATTTGAGAGGACTTCAGAGGTAGGAAGGATGGAATGAGAAATTCTGAGATATAGCTGATCAAATTACCAGAAAGACAGATGAGAGAGAATAGAAAAGACAAAATATTTAAAGCAAATTTTTCAAACATGGGGAAAATTATGTGTCCACTGATTGAAGAAGCACAACATATCTGTAATAGAATAAGTTTAAAGAATAACTGCTTTCTAAGAGCCCTCTGAGTTCAGCATTGTGATGAGTTGAATTGTGTCCCATAAAAACATATTGAAGGCCTACCCCCTCCGTAATTCAGAATGTGCTCTTATTAGGAAATAGGGTCCTTGCAAATATAATCCATTACAATGTGCTTAGTTTGGATTAGTGTAGGGCCATCATCCAGAACAACTCATGTTTATACCAAAGAAAAGAGGCTCTGGAGCAAAGACAGAGAGGAAAAGCAACATATAAAGACACAGACTCACAGAGGGAAGGCAGCAATATAATGATAAAAGCAGAGAATAGAGTGATGTAGC